CATCCATACTCAAAAATAAACATTTTAGATAAATTACATGTGTGTGCACTTGCCAAACCTTGCCTCAAACATGGATATATATTTTATAAAAATTACAGCTCAATAAAATTGTTTTAAATATATAACAATAATGGAATTCTAAAAAAAAGATATTGATACCAAACCTTTTTTGGAACTTATTTGCAAAAGATCACTGGTTGAAATATGCTTACCAAAGCAAAATAATAATGCAAATCTCTTGACATTTGTTTTTATTCCCATATGAAATATTAAATTATTTCTAAGACAATGTCAATACATAGGGGCAGGATCTGTGCCTCAAGGCAAAAAAATCCCTGACTGGTGTACAGAAAAACTGGCACGCAGCACTTCCCATGAAAACCAGAGCTAACATTCTCATGAGGCAATGAAAATGTGATGTGGAGTGGAAAATCAGAATCAAATCAAGAAGAAAAATTGCTACTGGGCATATCGACAGGAGAGGTGTGGAGAAAATTTGGAGATGATAGAACTCCTAGAACTCAGTGATTTAAAAGTCAGATTTGGCTTGGGTATGGTCACAGATAGGTTCGGACCTATCCTGTGTCCAGAATTCATTGTATCAAAAATAATATTTCTAGCAATGAATTGATACATGAATAATTCTGTCACCCTGAGTTTTATTGGATTTAGAATTTTTTTTGAAAGGAGTTACATCTGAGCAGTGGGGAAGTAGAAACAGGAGGAAGTGCATGCTGAGATCTCAAGACCTTTGCCTAGCTTTGAACAGGACTTCAAAGTAACATAGCATAGTACTCTACTAGCATGGAGAATGATGTGGTAGTAGTGACAGAGTTATTGACAGCGCTGAAATGACAGCGAAGGAAAGAGGATGACTCATGAAGCCCCGGGGCATGAAGGAATACCTTGTGGCCACTGCACTGTGAATCAGCATGTCTGGCTTCTACTAGTCATGTTAACAATCTTGAGCATAGTAGACATGCATGGTAATGACTTCAGACAAAATGACATGTGCCCCTAGACTGATTTCCAAGTCTCCCTGTACCTTCTTGGGATTCGCTACAGTATCTATTTTTATAGAAAAGGTTTTTGCTTTTTTACTCTTGTTTATGAACCTTTTAATATCTTGATTCCCTCTAGGAAGTGTGTCAGTGAAGGACATTCAAGAGATACAGAGCAAGTGAACCCAAGATTTTCCCTTTGCTTTTCGTTAGCTGTAACATTGTTTGGAGGATTTATGGGTTGTATTAAGATGAGTTGGAGAACAGTAATAATCAGCCTCATCCATAGGATATATTCTAGGAATGCACAACACATTTGCAATGTCCAAGGAATCTTTGGCCACAAAAAAGTGCCTGAGGCCCCCCAGGCCATGTGATAGATCTAAGTCTATGTGGCCATGCAATTTCTGAGGAGACTTGGATTCTCCTGGAATCAGAGAAGCAGAGCTCCCTCACTGAAACCACTATTCTGGCTGCCAGTGGGTGTAGCAGTTGCTCCAGAGGATACACACTGAGGGTAGCTGAGTCAGAATGGCTTGACAGAGGGAACCCACAAACAATATGAATATAAATGCAGTAGAGACCAGAGTATATGTTCCCTTGGATTGCTGGCCAACATAGACAAGGCTGAGCCGGAATTGAGACCTGTTGATGCACATTCTGACCTGTGACTTGAGGGAGAATCAGGAGGAAGGGCATGGTACAAGGACTGAGCTCTTGACCATTTCCATGAAGTGTCGCTGACTTGGGTCTCATTGTATCACCTCCTCATGCCAGACACAGAGACTTTCCTGCCAATGGGTTTCCATCCACATTTCCCTCTGCTCCTCCCACTGCCTTACTGCTGATGTTCAGCTCACACACACTTAGGAGGATGGAGGTTGACTTACACACTGGGGACCACTCAAAAGGAAGTACCTGCTGAGCAACATGAAGTTCTGCTTAGAGGCTAGAGAAGATGTAGCTACTGATTACTAATAAGTGAGCAAATGGCATCTCTTCTATACCAAGGCTCTTTTGAGGAAATGGTACTTAATTTGCTGTAAATGCAGACTGGCCCACAGTGCCTGCTGCTGGTATCAAGGCCCATAATCACCGTGGCCAAGAGGCTGTGTTCATTTTCTACCTCACCTCATCTCCCAATCTACTGAAATATTCCTAGACTAATTTCTTAGTTGTGAGATTCTGATATGCTGTGTGTAATTCTGTAGGTTCTCACCACCAAGAGTGGTCTTCCTTGTGATCTCTCTCTGCTGTGGATTGTGTAAACATGAACTCTTAACAGCCTTCTACCACCTGGTCCTCAACACTTATAGCAGTTACACTGTGAGAGACAGGTGCAAGAGGCCCTGTGCTGTGTGCTGTGGATTTGCCCCTGGGAGGAAGCAGCTGCTAAAACAATGTAATGGGCCAGTGAGCAACTGTACAGGGTAGTGAACCTAAACACTAGGATCTCTGAGACTTCTGACAGGTCATAGTTCCCTCTAGTGGCTTCATTTTTCTCACTGTTTCGGGTTTTAATTATTGAACCACTGTTTACTAATTTTATCTGAAAGCTCTAAATTTATTTTCCAAGATGACTTGTAATCATCACCTTTCCTTCTTTAATTTCTTTTGGCTTATAGTTATTTCTCTACTTTTTGAGAAATTATCCCCAAACTTTTTAGATTGGGAATTTTAATTACCTGTAAAAGAGCCCCAATTGACTGAAACAATTTGCATGTGGTTCTTTTGCCAAAGACTATGTCAGTACACATTCCAGGATATTCATCAGTCTCATCTAGTGACCAATAATTGCAATCAGTTGTAACTTGCTATCAAAATAATGATGGCAGGTGTTCCCTATAGTCATACATTTTCACAGCTATGTTTATTCCAATGTTGTATTGGAAATACATGTGTGTTCACGCATGTATTTCTGTGTTGATTGGGAATAGGATTATAGCCCACAATTTTTAGAAATTTATGTATGTTTTTCATGGTGTATAGAAAGGTTATATGGTTTTGTGGTTATTTTTAACCATTCCACTTTGATGAATTCATGAGTTGTATAAGGTTTTGTAGAGTGTTTAGAGTCTCTTACATAAAGAATTATCATCTGAAAATATTTTCCTATTTCTTTTTTTAATTATTTCCCTATTCCTAATACTTTGAATACCTTCTACTATATTACTGCTTTAGCTGAGACTTTAAGGATTAAGTTGAATAGATTTGGGGGTACAGATGGAGTTATGGACACCCTTTTCTTATTTATTTTAGTGGGAATGCCTTGAGTTCTCCCCCCCCCCCATTTAACATGATGTTGACTTTAAGCATTTTTCTTTTTGTTTTTATTTTGTCTTGTTTCTTTTTTATTAGGTGGTGGTATACTCCTTTCCTCTCTAGTCTCTCTATGATGTTTTTAAATGTTTAATTTATTAAAAAAAACAACTACCTTTTCTCATTTTAGATGCCAAATCCATTTCCCACACCCTCCCCTCCTCCTGCTTCTTTCACCTGCCCCCTCCTACCACTGCCCTACTCTGCATTCACTCCTCAGAGAAGTAAAGCTTCCCATGGGAAGTCAACAAAGTCTAGCATATTGCTTTGATGCAGGACCAAGGCCCTTCCCCACTATATCTAGGCAGAGCAAGGTATCCCTCCATTAAAAAAAAATGGATTGCAAAAAGTCAGAACAAGCAGTAAGGATTAATTCTGGTCTCACTGGCAGTGGTCCCACAGTCTGCCCCAATCATACAACTGTCACCCACATTCAGAGGGCCTAGTTTGGTACCATGCTGGTTCTCTTGCTGTCATTCTGGAGTTGGAAGACATCCATTAGCTCAGATAAGCTGTTTCAGTGGGTATCCCTCCCTCCCCTTTTCCTCTCCTCCTTTTCTGCCTTTCTTTTTTCCTCCCACACATGTTCCCTTTTTTAAAAAAGATATTGTCTATTACTTCTTCTCAGGGAGATCTATGTATGTTTCTCTTGGGGTTCTTCTTGTTACTTAGCTTCTCTAGGATTATTGACTATAGGCTTCTTATCCTTTGCATTATAGCTAGTATTCAACTATGAGTGGGTATATAGCATGTTTATTTTTCTGGGTCTGCATTACCTCACTCAGGATAGTTTTTTCTAGTTCCATCCATTTGCATGCAAATTTCAAGATTTCATTAATTTTTACAGCTGAGCAGTACTCCATTGTGCAAACGTACAATATTTTCTTCATCCATTTTTCACTTTAGGGGCATCTAGTTTGCTCCCACATTCTGGCTATTACAAATAATGCTGCGATGAACATCGTTGAGCAAATGTCCTTTTAATATGGTTGAGCATCCTTTAGGTATATGCCCAAGAGCGGTATTGCTGGGTCTTGTGGTAGGTTTATATCCAATTTTCTGAGAAACTGCCATAACTGATTTCCAGAGTTGTTATACAAGTTTGCATTCACCAACAAAGGAGTTTCCCCCTTATGCCACTTCCTCTCCAGTATAAGCTATTATTGGTGGTTTTTGTCTTAACCATTCTGCCAGGTTAAAAATGGTATCATTTTCATTTTGATCCACATTTCCCTGATGGCTAAGGATGTTGAACATTTCCTTAAGTGTCTTTCAGTGTTTCCCTGTAGGGATAAGCCCTCCCCTTGGGGGTGGGCTGCCCTCGGGCGAATGTTTACTGATAAATTGGGCTCGCAGACTCTGTGCACCCCTTCCTTCCTGCTCTGGGTACTCCGCTGGAACCTTGGTTTCATGAGTCTGGTTTTGTCATTAAACTTGTTCAGATACCTATTAATATTGGTCTTCATTAATCCAAACCGCCACATTTGGCGCGCCAACGTGGGGCACAGCACCCGCTCTTTAGTCCGCTGCGCCCACGGCAGGTCCTGGGCAGTCACGGTTGCCGCTGCGGCCCGCTCGCCCGCCTGCCCGCTGTAGGCCGCTCTAGGCCCGCCCGCTCTAGGCCGCTCTAGGCACGCAGTGGTGCCCGCTTGTCGCGGTCGCCAAAGGCCAAAGCAGCAACAACAGCACACCTCCCCCGCGCCAGTCCGCTCGCTTGCCCACTCGCCCTAGGCCGCTGCCGCGGTCCCGAACTGCCCGCAGCCAGCGCTTTGTTCCTCTCGCAGCACCAGAGGAGTTAACCCCTCCCTCTCTGCCTTGACATTTGGAGCTGAACACGGAAGCTTAAATATTTGCGGTTTTATAACACAAACCTCCACATTTGGCCCCAAAGGGGTCACTTTGAATAAATTTCGGTTTTGAGTTGTTTCAGATCGGCTCTCCACGTGGATTCAAGTGGACTCTTTCGCCACCTCTGGCAGGAACCAGTCATTACAGGTAAAAAAAAATTTCCTTTTATAAATAAAATGTCTGAGAATATCACCATTCAAAATTTCAACAGCCTTTTTGAGTGTGCCATGTGGGAGATCCTATCCTTCTGGGATTAGTAGTCTTCCTTGGTATTAAGTGGTTTGATAACAAAAGTCTCATAGAGCCTTTAAGAGACGAATCCAGGATTCTTAAGGCACAGGTTGAACATCTACAAACGATTAAGCATGACAATGATCTTCTCAAGAATCAGTTTAAAGTTCTGCAGGAATAGAAGAGAACTTTGCTTAACAAGACAATGGTGACTGAAAAAAATTTAGAAAAGGTTCAGGCTGATATTAAGGAGACATTTATTACTATGGAAGAATGAACAGCTGATTTAAATCGTAAATTTCATCAGTCACTTTCTGAAGGAACTGAAACATTATCTCAGAGAATTAAAACGGTTGAATGGGAAAATCGAATTTTGTCTAAAGCTTATGACAGAGTGGTGGAAAGATTGTCAATACAAGAAGGCACGGTTTATGCCATAAAAATTATGTCCAAAGATGAGAACTTAGCTCTAATGGACAAACTTCATACTTTAGAATCCTCTGGACAGGAGATACAGACATTGCAGAAGGCAATGGTGAATAGAATTGAAAAGATTGAGGAATTTCTAAATTCTGATGAAGAAGAACAAACGGTAGAAGGGCAAATTTTAACTACATCTGTGGGTAAATCCCTCCGGGACAATTTCCACAAATCTCTACCTACAGCTCTACCTGCCTTTCCAGTAATAACAACAGAGAAGGTGATTGGTTCCAGAAACCCTAGGGTCATTAAGGAAGATACATGGGAGCATGTCCGTATGAATGATCTCAAAGAAATTAAACAGGCTGTCATGACTTTCGGGATGCATTCCTCTTTTGTTAAAGAGATGCTAAAGTCTTGGGCATCCACAAGCAGAGCTACGCCATTGGACTGGCTCCAGCTGAGCTCTGCAGTCCTTGAGAGTGGGCCGCACTTAAAATGGAAATGCTTGTTCAGGCAAGAGGCTAGACTTTTAGAACAGCAAGAAAAGGCGAAGGGAAGTGACATCTCCCTAGATAAAATTCTAGGTGAAGGACGCTTTTCTGACCCTCAGGAACAAGCTAATTTGGACGAAAACACACTCTCCATATGCACTACAGCAGCCTTAAGGGCTTGGGACAGGGTACAAGACCCAGGACAGAGAATGGAATCATTTGTCACAATTAAACAAGGTCTGAGAGAACCTTTTAGTGATTTTTTACAAAGACTTACTAAGGCTGTGCAAATAGGGATACCTGACCCTGACGCAAGACGTATAATGATTGAGTCTTTGGCTTATGAAAATGCAAATGTGGAATGCAAAAAGATTTTGGGGCCTTTAAGGTTCAGATCAGCACCCTTGGAAGAATGGGTCTTGCATACACTGGATGTTGATACATTTGATTATGGCACTGAAGCATGGGTAGAAGAAGCAATTTCCAATGGTAAAAGGAGACACCAGAATACCAAATGTTTTAATTGTGGCAAAATGGGTCATATGAAAAGGAATTGTAAACAACGGATCTTCAGAAATAATAATAATGCATCTTCTAGAAATAACAGAAATAGGAGGACTCAGCCTTCAGGTTTATGTAGAAGATGTGGAAAAGGTAGACATTGGACGAATGAATGCAGGTCTACAAGAGATAGACAAGGCAACCTGATACAGACGGGAAACGTGAGAGGGGGGGCCTCACAGGCCCCCATGGCAAACATGGTTCAGTCATTTCCAGTTTCTGCAGAGAACGTGCCTCGTCAGGACAATTAGGAAACCTCATGCCTACTGTTACAAACGATAATGAGCAGAAAGATGAGTTACGTGTGTTTTGGCAAACTTCTATAAATGATCAAAGACCTAAGCTGAGAGTGTGTGTAAATGGCATTTTTATTACTGGCCTGCTGGACACAGGTGCTGATGTAAGTATCATTACCCCAGAATCTTGGCATCCGTATTGGCCTCTTCAGAATGTAAATGTTCAGCTCCTGGGAATTGGAACCCTATCTCGAGTAAGACAGAGCACAAGATGGGTTGAATGTATAGGGCCTGAGGGACAAATAGGAAAATTAAGGCCATATGTAGCCAATATTGCAATGAATTTATGGGGTCGTGACCTATTACAACAATGGAATACCCAAATTAACATTCCTGCTACTTCTAGAGCCTATATTTCTGAGAATAATATTAAAAGATATTACAAACGGAGAAAACCGGCCATTCGGGCCATACAAGAACAAGTAATTGAAGCCCCTTCAGAGATACCAACAGCCTTGCCTCTAAAATGGTTGACTGAGAAACCAATATGGACAAAGCAATGGCCTCTAGCTGAGGAAAAGTTACAGGCTTTAGAACAGCTGGTACAAGAGCAATTAGATGCTGGACATATAGAAGAATCTACCAGCCCTTGGAATTCTCCTGTATTTGTGGTTAAGAAAAAATCAGGTAAATGGAGAATGGTGACAGATCTCAGAGCTATCAACAAGGTTATTCAACCTATGGGTCCTCTGCAATCTGGAATCCCTTTGCCCTCTTTATTACCAAAAGGATGGCCTCTTATAGTTATTGATTTAAAGGATTGTTTTTTCACCATACCTTTACAAAAAGAAGATAGAGAAAAATTTGCCTTCACGGTGCCTACTTACAACAATTCTCAACCTTCCAAGAGGTACCACTGGGCCGTCCTCCCCCAGGGTATGTTAAATAGCCCCTCCTTGTGCCAATATTTTGTGAACCAACCATTGCAAATAATACGCAAGAAATTTCCCAAATCTATAATATACCACTACATGGACGACATCTTGTTATCCGATTCAAACATGGATACCTTGAACAGACTGTTTGAAGAAATAAAGATACTTTTACCTAAATGGGGATTGCAAATTGCTCCTGAGAAGATACAGAAGGGAGATTCTGTTAATTATTTAGGTTATAAAATAGGTTTGCAAAAAATTAAGACACAAAAGGCACAAATTAGGAGAGATCGCCTACGGACTCTTAATGACTTTCAAAGACTGTTAGGAGACATTTCCAGTCTACGACCAGCTGTTGGGATAACACCTGATCTAATAATTCATTTGAACAAAACCTTGGAAGGTGATAAAGACTTAAACAGTCCCAGAGAATTAACAGCTGAAGCAGAAAAGGAACTGACAATAATTGAGGAAAAATTACAACAGGCACATGTGGACAGGGTGAATCCAGAGCTCGATTGTATTCTCGTCATATTACCATCCAAAATTTCTCCTACAGGAATTTTAATGCAGAGAGATGATATTATCTTGGAATGGATCTTTTTACCACATAAACCAAGTAAAAAACTGAAAACTTATGTGGAAAAAGTCTCTGAGTTAATTATAAAAGGCAAGCTGAGACTTCGTCATCTAGCAGGCATAGACCCAGCAGAAATTATAGTGCCTTTCACTGCTGATGAACTAAAGAAATTATGGGAAGATAATGAACCATGGCAAAGAGCTTGTGATAATTTTTGGGAGACATTAATAACAACTATCCAAAAAGCAAGAGGCTTAACTTCATCAAGAGAACTTCTTGGATCCTTCCTCGAATCATCTGTGATGCTCCAATAACTGGAGCCCGTACTATTCAATACTGATGCCAATAAAATAGGGAAGGCAGGTTACAAATCAGAAGAATTGGGTAAGGTGGAACAAAGTCCTTATGATTCTATCCAGAAGGCAGAATTATATGCCATTCTTATGGTGCTAAGGGATTTTAGAGAACCTATTAATATAGTTACTGATTCACAATACGCAGAAAGAGTTATTTTACATATTAAAACTGCTGAATTTATACCTGATGATACAGAACTAACCTCATTGTTTATCCAGGTTCAAGATTTGATCAGGAACAGGCTTTGCCCTATGTACATAACACACATCAGATCCCATATGGGTCTGCCAGGTCCTCTAGCACAAGGTAATGCAGACATTGATCAGTTATTGATTGGTAGTGTGCTACAAGCCTCTGAATTTAGTAAAAAAACATCATGTTAATAGCAAAGGTTTGAAGAAAGAGTTTTCTATTACATGGCAACAAGCTAAGGAGATTGTAAAGAAATGCCCTACTTGCTCTTTATATAACCAAACACCACTGCCAGCAGGGGATAATCCAAAGGGCACCCATAGGAATGAAATCTGGCAGATGGATGTGTTCCACTTTGCAGAATTTGGCAAATTGAAGTATGTTCACCACACCATTGACACTTATTCAGGCTTTCAGTGGGCAACTGCTTTAAGTTCAGAAAAAGCTGATGCAGTAATCACTAATTTATTAAAAGCCATGGCTATCATGGGTATACCTACACAAATAAAGACAGATAATGGTTCTGCTTATATCTCTAAGAAAATGAAACTGTTTTATGACTATTACAATATCAAGCATGTTACGGGTATACCATACAATCTTACAGGTCAAGCAGTCATAGAAAGATCAAATCGAACTATAAAGGATATGTTGAATAAACAGAAAGGGGTGGAAAACACACCCAGAAATAGGTTACATAATGCTTTGTTAACCTTGAATTTTCTTAACACTAATGAGAAGGGAACAACGGCTGCAGAAAGACATTGGATAATGGAAAAGTCTACTGAACTAAATCAACCAGTTTATTTCAAGGATGTGCTGACCTCACAATGGAAGCCAGGAGATGTGCTGCGTTGGGGAAGGGGTTTTGCTCTTATCTCCACAGGTGAGGAACAATTGTGGATACCGTCAAAATTAATAAAGGTTCGGTATGAAGAAGA